ACCATATTCACTTTACATTATTCACTTTACACATCATTTAAGGTCGGCTGATATTGTAGGCTCTTAAGTCATGGAGGTATAGTGGTTTTACCTCCACAATTAAATACAGTACGATGTTTAGGGAGTAGAGATGTGTTTAGTCGTGAGAAAAATGCGGGTGTTGTCGCATGATATGAAACCAGGACCCTGCGGCTGGATGGCAAGCATCTTAACCACATGTTCACTACAGACACAATAATAATAATAATAATAATAATAATAGTAATAATAATAATAATAATAATAATAATAATAATAATAATAATAATAATAATAATAATAATAATAATAATAATAATTGAAGTACTTGTGTCTGTTAGAAAAAATATTATTTTATTATTTGTTAAAGATAATTAAAGAATTATTGATTATAAAAATAACTATTTTGTTATTTTTTGGCTATTTGTTTTCGTTCTTTCTTAACACAATTTTATTGTTATTATGAGTACTATTATCATTTTATTATCATTATAATTACCATTACCATTAAACCATCATCATTATCATCGTCATCATTATTGTCATTATCATCATCATCATCATCATTATCAATTTTAGTATCATTATTCATATTATTCTCGTCATCTGGTCATCATAATTATCCTTATCGTCATTATCAATATTATAATCATAATCATCGTTTCTTTCTTAATACAATTTCATTATCATTATGAGTACTATCACCTTCTCATTATCATTATTATTAACATTAAACCATTATCATCATCATCATCATTAATATCGTCTTCATCATCATCATCATTATCATCAATTATCACTATTCTATAATTCTCGTCATCTGGTCATCATTTATCATCATCATTATCAATATCATCATCATAATCATCGCCGTCGTCGTCGTCATTGTCACCATGTGTTCGCTGCGGCTTATGTTGTGGCTTTGAGTTTCAAAACTCTCCTAGGGGTGTTTTTCGAAAACTGTTTTAGCAATGTACTTTGACAAACTGTGATACTTAACCCGGGTGACCATGTCTTACATTTTCCAGAGACAATCTACGGCTGTAGCCGTAGAAGCATGCCCAAGCGTCAGCAGATGGGAACGCATTACAGAAGGACGAACACTCAATAATACTTTGGTGGAATTATTAGACTCGCAGTGGTTCTGGAAAACAGATTGCTTCAATAGTGGCACCTCATGTCGAGGGTTCACCGGAACTAGGAGCCAGTGTTTACCTAAGCATAGTTGGGTACCTGCGTTTGCGCGCGAAAAAGGAACTAACAATCAATATTCATGGTTCTACATGGCCATAGCATCTTGCTGTGAATGCGCAGTTAGGCTTTGATAATAATTATTTGTGAATTTAAAGATAAATATTATATGTTGAACTAATGAAAACAATTAAAAAATTAAATCTAATATTTGTCTTGATTAGGACCATGCATAATTAAGTTATTAGCTTCCAATTATAATAAAAACAGAAATATTTTTTAGTTAATTAAATTTTGTTTCCATTAAATTGCTACACTGTCTCTACCGTGTTTTCACTGCAATTGTGACACTGCGTATGTTGCTCCGACGCAACCAGAAGGGCTCCTCAAATATCAATGTAGAATAATAATAGGTACAATGGGCCAACATAGTTGAGATCCCGGTGGCGGAAGTGCGTAAATCAGAAATACTTTTGTCATTTGTTGTAATTCACATTTTAAAAATTATTTTTTTCACTTATTTATTCAAACTATTTAATCGTTTTAAGAATATATTTGATTTATGATTTAATTTATTATTAAATGATATAAAGTATATTCTAACTTGGTGCCTTGAGTATTTTAATGTGTAATGCAATTCACCCAGAATCATAGCCCACACACCAGCGTATTTGTGATTAATACCAACACCGCTGAGAAGATTTCGTAGATCAGAAACGCAGCAGTCTGACATTATATCAATCCCACCCACATAAAATTGTAATTAGAAATATTATCATCGTCATATTTCATCTTATCAATTAACAAGTGATTGAGATTTCCAGTTTTAATTTCATGACTGCTCACTTTTTGTTTTATAGTTAGTGCACCGCAATGCAATTTGATTCATTAGGCCTATATATAGGCAGTTTTTGTGGGGTTATTATTTTTTTTAAAGACGTACTGGTATGCTTAAGCTATTGGTATACATCACTGTTTGATCGTGAGCAAGTTGATCGGATGGAAGATGGCAAGAAAACCAGGGGTATTAGTTACGGTACTACAACCGCTATGCCATTTTCGATTATTGGCTAGTTTCTTTCTAACGTCACTGGTACCAATACACATCTGTGAATTGAGATATAATTTAGGCATTAATTATTCACTTACGTAAACGAAAAAAAAAAACACATTGTAATATTTTGACGTAGACCGGAGCACATTTATATAGGTTCATAGATGCAGTTAAGAATTTGTTCGTCTTACGCGCGTTAGGTAAATGTGAATTGACAGAATGGGGTATAAAGGGGGAATTTTAAATTAAATTAGAAATGAATATTTACACTTAGAGAGTAATCAAATTTAAATAAATTGATTCGTAGTCGGAATATAAAATACTGCTACCAGTTATAACATTGCACACCAAGTTCATTCGTTTGCACAGGATTGGATCTAAAATCATTGCATGTCATAAGAGTATTGCACTGATGACACCGACTATACTGCAAGAAGAAAATGTTCCCTTCGTTAAATATTAAAGCACTCGTAGTTGTAATAGGATCAGAAAACAGATGTTGGCTTATTTTACTGATTCTTATCATTGTATAATAATATTATATTGAAACAGGTGATTTTTTTTAAATCGATGTTGCACAATATTGTTTGGATAGGCTAATAAGTAATATTGAACTAAAATGCCTATTATAGCCAACTCAAATAGACAGTCTACTTCAGACGTTTCAAATTAATTTCCTTAATCCGTGGTAGTCTATTGTTATTTTTCCCACGATGCAAGGTCAAATAGTGAAGATGTTTTAATGAAAATAAGCTGTAATTAAAAAACCTAGGCCTATATTATTTAAATTTTATTTGTTCATGATTGCCATATCTATTATATATTTCGTTCTTTATTAGAACATTATTAGGAGTTTCTGATGTTAATAAAAAAATAATAAACAACGATAATTATATCAATATTGCTTCGCTCAGCCTGTTTTAAGAGTGGCTGGTAAGTCACTTGTTATTTCTGTATTTTTCTCACGATGCTAAGTCAAATACTTTAGGTGTGTGGATGAAAATAAAAGAGACATACAGCATAGGCTTATATAGTTTACATGTTTTTGTTCATGGTTGCCATATCGATTAAATTATTTCGTTCTTTTTTCCAAAATCATCAGGAATTCCCGATGCCTTAAAAAAAGTAAAAAAATAAACAACGATATTTATACCAATATTGTTTCATTCAGCCTGTGTTGAGAGTGCATGGCATTTTATTATCATATTATAATGTGGTGGACCACATTGCTTTTGCATTGCATAGCCTTTTTTTGTACATTTTAAGTGGATTATGTTTGTGAGCTGAGAAATTTTTTTAACCAGATTTTCGAAATAAGCCTATATGAAAATGTAACTTCTATTGGTGACATACACACTCTGAAAAACATTTGAAAGGCTGATAGTGCTATTTCCGAGCTATCTAGTGCCGTTTTCGAAACACTGTGGTAAGGTAATTGCATCTACCGCCCATGTATATATATATAT